ATTCTTGCAAAAAAATAACGATTTCCTACATCCTATACTGTACATGTAGCCGCATAGGAAATATTATCCTACAAAATAGCATTGCACTTCCCAGTATGTGAGTGTACCTGTGCACTCCTGTGCTGACAGCTTCATAGCTGTATATCTGCAGTTTGAGATCTAAGGCACTGCTACCTCTGACTGCTAGTCTCAGGAGATCTGGAGTGAGATGTCACTACTGTGCTGCTCACTGTTCTGTTTGCTGGATACTCTGAAAGCAAAACCCTGCCTCTACCAAGATAACTGCCCCTATGAGACAGTGTGAAACAAGGCGTGGTAACTCAATAACAGGGGAAACCTCTGCTACAGGGAGACCACAGGCAGTAGCAGTGCCAAGTCCTTTGTTCTGTCTGCCTTTTTGGGACAGTTTTCACACCTCAGTTCTTCCTTAAAAGGGGTTCTAAACCCTCCGGTTATTTTTTGCCTATATCTACTGCCAGCAAGCAGTAGATATAGGCAAAAAGTTTTTTAAAAACTCTTTAACTAGGTTTAAACTTACGTTATCGCTGCGCGCTCCCGCACCGAGAATCAGGAGCTGCTCGTGCAGCCGCAAAGGATCTTGGGGCAGGCACATGCGCAGTTCGGAATTCTCAGCCGGGAAATGAGCAGAGACGCAAAGTAAGTCTATGGACACTAGGGCTGCAACAACTAATCAACATAATCGATTAATCGTCTTCCGATTGGTTGGCCCTGTTCACGGCTCCACACATGCTGCACGCCACACCTCCACTACGTTGGCATCAGGGATGTCATTCTTGTTGAAGATTTTGGAGATTGAAGATTTTGCATAGCTATTGAACTGATTTTATCACTTGTTAATGTGTCATTTAGATTATTATTTAATATTATGTTTCTAAATTCAGTGGTCACATTTATTTTTGGTTGTTTATGATGCCCGATTGGGCAATTTGTACATACAGGTGAAACTCGAATAATTAGAATATCGTGCAAAGTTCATTTATTTCACTAATGCAACTTAAAAGGTGAAACTAATATATGAGATAGACTCATTACATGCAAAGCAAGATAATTCAAGCCGTGATTTGTCATAATTGTGATGATTATGGCTTACAGCTCATGAAAACCCCAAGAACCCCAAATCCACAACCTCAAAAAAGTAGATTATTACATCCAATCAATAAAACAAGGAATGTACATAGAACAATATCGGACCTCTGAAAAGTACAAGCATGCATATGTACTCAGTACTTGGTTTGGGCCCCTTTTGCAGCACTTACTGCAATTACTTTTGCACGATATTCTAATTATTCGAGTTTCACCTGCATAATAATAATTTTTATAATTAATATCTCTGCTAGGTGAGTAGCACTGTTTTTGTTCTGATTGATTGTAACTACTAAGACTGGTCAAATATGAGTTAATCTTTCATTAATAAGAGCAGAAGCTACAATATGAAACCTGAAGCCTACTTACACCACGCTTGCTGTGATACCATATACTGTACAGCACTATGAACTATTTTTAACAACTCCATATAGGCTTGTCAGTGTGTTTGGATGTGTGGAATCCGATAACCCAGAAAAAGACAGATGCTGGAACTGTGATTTGAATAGAACTCCTTCACTGAAGACTTCAGGGCAGACTAGACATTAAACTGGATGCAAATATACACAACTAACATGCTTTGGTATCCACATCACAACACTGTAATACTAATAGACCAATTGACCTAGAGGTTGTAAAAAAGGCAGCACATGTTTATAGCACATAGACATTCCCAAAACAGATTGGCACCAAATATTTGCATCAGGGAAGACCTACTAATGGAGTGGGCACAGGTTCACTGGTTAAGTGTGATTCTTTAAATGAACCTGTACTTTACCCATGCAGAGCAACAGGTTTACTTAAAGTGACATTAAAGGAGAACTATGAGATGAGTGATTTCCCCTCACCTCATAGTTCTAGCCGACCTGTGACAATGAGACTGTCACAGGTCGGCTCAGTAGATCGGGAGGTGAGCGAACACATACCGGGTTCGCTGTAGCTCGCGGTATCCTGAGCTTAGGGTAACGGGAGGACACTAGTTTGTGTCCTCCCGTTACCCTAAGGAGAACTATGGGGAAAAACGCTGACCCCATAGTTCTCCTTTAAAGGCAAACAAATATTTCCCTACCCCCATGTTAATGTTAGCACTTACCTTAAATTATGTCTCTTATTCCGATCTTCCTCTTCTTTCCTGATGTTTTCAGCCTTCTCTCCAGCGGTGCGGCGGCTCTCCGATCTAGCGCTGACTGATCTGTCCCTCCGATCCAGCGGTGTCTGCATGTGGGTGCACGCGTCCATAGACTTACCTTACGTCCCTCGTCGCGTCCACCCGAAAATGAGAACTGCGCATGTGCCCGCCCCAAGATCCTTTGCGGCCTCTCGAGAAATTTCTAATTTTCGCACGGGACCGCGTACGGAACACAGGTGAGTCTAAACTGCTGTTTGAGCGGGTTTTTTTTTTTTTTTTACTTTTTGCATATATCTACTGCTTGCTAGCAGTAGATATATGCCAAAAAAAAACGGGAGGGTTTAAATATCCTTTAAAGGGTATCTACGTATGGTCAAAAACTAAAAAATAAATATGTATTTCCATATTGAATTTCCATAAGTTCCATCCCACTCCTGATAAGCATATTGATCTAGAAGTAGATAAGCATTCTTCACTGAAGATGCCCTTAGGCTGCACTAACATAATTTCACTCAGCCCTGTGAGTATGTACTTCCTTGTGTCACAACTTACAGAGCCTGCATTCTGAACTACAACTCAATGTCTGACCAATGTAACATTATCACTGCTTGGTGGAAGGAATGCATGTTGGGATATGTAGTCTTGAGAAATTGTGATTACATCAGCAGGGAAAGAGATGCAAAGCACACTGGGAATCCCGGAAGTTGTTGAAAGTGATGGGCAGAGAGAAGGCAGCACTCACTACATAAAATTGATTTTTTTTCAATTAAGCATTGATTGCATTATCAAAAACAACTACAATATGTATTTCTATTACAATGCTGATGTTATAGCAGGAGAGGATATGCTGGTACTTTAGAACTCCTTTAATTGTCACCTTACCCAGAACCACATACTCCTTTTGTTAATCACCCACCGCTCCATTCAGCTACCAAAAGTAAAGAAAGGACTCTCACCGCATCTCATATGTGACAGGTCCACTTTAATTACACTACCTCATATGTATATGTAGTGCATCCCTGATGATATATAATGTCTCTAAATTTGAATTGCTGTCTGTGTATCTATTAGGAAAATTCCATCCACTTCCTGTCACAGGGACACAACAAGAAATGAGATGACATGTTCCTAAAGTGAGGGAAAACCCCAATTGTCAATATTGAATGATATATGCCTTTACACCTGGTCCGGAGACAATCATAACATTTCATATTTGCCCTCGTTATGTGCCAATGACAAGAGTCACCATGGCAAATAGTAAAGGTGGATTTCCCCAACAGATAGCAATAAACATTTAGGAGAGGTAATACATTTCCACACTATTCGGATCTAGAAAAGACGTTCAGCTGGACTTCCACTTTAAAGTTGAATTTAAGTGAATATACTGTATTCCTCAATAGCCACAAGGGATATAAATCCACACTGTGTACACTAAACGCCTTTGCAAACCCAGATATTACCGTGTAAAAGTAGCAGTGAGATTATCACTCCGCTGTACATATCTTTTGCAGAAAGCAGAGCTGTGGGAGGGGCCCAGCAGGCTCCACCCACTAGAAACTGCCTGCAGAAAACTATAGGAGGTGGATACAAGACCAGCCATCCTGCACAAGGAAAGAGAGCAGCACTGACTGGTCTTTATTTCAGGTTATTTCACGTTTCACACCGGATTACTGCACAGATCTGGAAGAAGTACACAAAACACACCAAGATTCAAGTAATAATACACAAGACCCTTAACTTTAAGTCCTCAAACATAATTTGCAGTGTTATACATAACTGGTGTAATACTCAGGTTAGGTTAACATCTAGGCGATTGAGCTGGTGAGCTGTTTTCGTGTGGTTATCGCACGTTTTTCTTTGCGCAACTGTTCTTTGAAAACCACACGGTTATCGTGCGGTTTTCAATGCATAGAGATGTCTATGGGACCCAAACCACGCGACATCTGCCTGAAAATAGGTCCTGCACCTTTTTGCGCGACAAGCGTTTTCGACCACGTGACAAACCGCAAAGGTGTAAACAGCCTCCATTGACTTCAATGCGAATCTGTGTTTTGCGTGATATCGTGCCAATCGATAAATCGCCTAGGTGTGAACCTAGCCTTACAGCAGCCTTACAAAGCATTTAGGACAGGCATATGTCTTACAAAGAATGCCATCTGCCATCTTCACACCTGCTGTGCCGTGCCTGCTCATCCATACAATGTAGTCAACATGGAGAAGTGACACATCCATGGTGAATTATTTCCTTCCCTTTTCTACATGGTAAGAAAAGGATCAAGCTACACTGGTACTCCATAAGGAACCACTACATGGTCAGTTTATTATATTGATTCATAGAACTGGCATGAGTGCAGGCTGTGTATGGCCACAGTAGCACTTCTTCTGTATAGCGATAACATTTTGTATACACAGCACACTTTACAAAGCTGTATGAAAATAAACTGTGCACACTAGAATATAACAATTACAGGTGCAGAGGAAAGGCAAACAGGAAACGTTCTGCATACAGGGAGAGAACAATGCGGCTTACAAACATTAATGTTACATTTACATATACAAAGAGGCATGGAGATACACTGGGCTCAATTGGCTCATATCGGTGTATGATTCCTTTTATCTGTCTACTACATATCAGGAATAACAACATATAACAATAGAATATAGTTATGGTATAGTGTCTGCAATATAAATGAAGTCCACTCGCTATGTTCCTCCCAAGTATGCAGGCAATAGTTTATTAGCATTGATAGTAAAGTCAGGTACTTACCCAGCGGGTGGTTTCTGTGACGTTTCCATGGAGGCCTCTGACTGTAAAATTCTCGAGTTAAATTCTGGAATAAACAATCATGGTAGCAAATGTTTCCTTCCCGTCACCTGGTTGTATTGTACATCCCTGAGCTAAAAATAAACAAACACATAAATATAGTAATAAACATTTTTCTTGCATGTGTAGATAAAAGTTTTATGAAATGTAAACAAAATGTTTCAGTTTTCTCTACACAGAGGACAAATGATTCATGCTCTTAGGCTGGGTTGACCCTGGGCGTTTTTCAGCGCTGATCGAAGCGCTGAAAAGCGCTCAAGAAGTGAAATCCTATGAATCCCTAGGGGCAGATTTCAGTGCGTATCCGTTGGTATTCCCGAGTGTGGCTCGGGGTTAACAAAGCGGTAACCCCGAGCCGCACTGGGGAATACAGCGTAGGTCTTACCTTGTCTGCGATCCCCGCTGTGTCCTCTGGCCGTTGCCGTCTTCCGGGTTCCGTCCCTTGCGAGCGTCCGCGTCGCAGGGGGGCGGAACCGGTGGGAAGTTTAAAAGTTGAAAGAAAATCAAACAAAAAACAGATAGAGAAAAAAGGGAAAAAAAAAAATCAAACCGGCAGGGAGGTTAAAAAACAAGCATCGAACGCGCGTTTCATTGGAGAAAAAACGTGCTTAAAAAACGTGCATAAAACGCGCCTATTAGGAACGCCCAGGTGTGAACCCAGCCTTAAGGATCATGTACATGGGCACAAATACAAGTATATTGACATACAGGGTAAAATACGCCCAGGAACCCCAGCTGCTGCGCTTTTCTGTGCATAGGAATGTCTGAACAGAAAATGCTGTACACAGGTATATATGTGTAAACACATCGGGGGGGGGGGATTTATCAAAACTGGAGCAGACAAAATCTGGAGCAGTTGTGCATGGCAACCAATCACCTTCTCTCTTCAGTTTGTTCAGTTAAGATTTGAAAATGAAAAAGAGAAGCTGATTGGTTATCATGCACAGCTGCTCCAGATTCTGTCTGCTCCAGTTTTGATAAATTCCCCTCATTGCCGTTTACTCCTGAATTGATGGAAGGTCCCACATGTGGAAGTTTCACATTCAGGAACTTACCCCCATACATATGCACATGTAATTGCTGGTAGCGATGTTTAGCGTACACCCGCATACAGCGTTTTCTGTCCACACATTTCTATGGACAGTAAAAAGCAGCAGCTGGGGCTGGTGGGCGATGCAGATAGAGACGTATTGTATGCCATATGCCAATATGTCTGTCCTTGTGCCCATGTGCATGAGCCATTAGAAGGAGATAACATACGTTTTTACCACCAATCTTCGGGAGGTTTGAACCACTCACATAGAAAAATACTGGCTAATACTAAAGCTGCCAATACACCAGTAGAATTTTGTTCAGAACATTCCTTCAATTTCTAATAATTAACGGGATCAAATCACCAACCACTTTCAAACGTAGAAGAAATTAATCGAAGAACCACAAAGGAATTTTTTTCTTGAACAAATGCAATTAATTCTTAAAGTGAATGTGGTTTTCTGTCAGGAAACTCCAATCATTCCAAGATCGAATGTTAAACTTAAACGACATTTGTCAAGTTCCTGATGGCATTATGGAATGCTCGTATGAATATCTAGCAGTGTATGGCCAGCTTAGGTATTATGACATAAATATGATGACTGTGGATCTGTTGACACCCCTAGAGGCATCCTGTTTTATTAGTATTTTGGAGTGTCTGTACCTCTCTGCCGCACTGGTCTGGTGGATGGCCAGGATTACTGATTACAAAGGTTTTATCTACATTGGATTCCCGTGTTCCCCTTGGTTTTTGGGGTTCCATTTATTTAAACTAAGGCTGGCCATACACTGCTGAATCAGACAAAATCTGAGCCATGAGTGGGCCTGCTGGCAACATTTCCTCTTTCTCCAGCGTGCCAAAAGTCGATGTTTCAATCAACTATTGTCGAAGGAGTCGGTATGGAAATGATCAGCAGAACAGCACCTGCATCCAATCAGAAGCACATACTGTTCAGGTATTTACCGGCAGCTGCTGAATACAATAGCTGGCAGCAGTGAAGTGCTCGTTTTGTCTAAGGAGCTAACATAACCGAGTTAAGGTGCCCATACACCAGCCGATTATCGTACGATAATCGCGGGTGATCCCGCGACCGTACGATAATCGGCAGGTGTATGGAAGGCGTGCGACCGTTTCAACTGTACTGTCGCACGTCTTTTGTCTTCCGACCATGCTGGAAAACCTGCCGAAAATAATAACATTTTCGGCGCATTAGTGGCGTGCTCGGAAAACAAATGCCGAACGGGCCGGTGTGCGCAAGCGCACACTGCCGGCTCAGCATTGGAGATATTGGAAGCTCTCCCATCAGCGGGGAGGGCTTGCGATGATCACAAGTACGATCTGCCTGTCCAAGATGGGCAGATCGTACGAGATTTTAATTACCTTACAACCATCGCACGGCTAAAGTTGTGCGATGGTTGTAAGGTGTATGGCTAGCTTTATACTCACCCGAACCACGTACACAGCTGACTGCTAAACTGGTCCCTTCATCCTCGCTCCCCCTCCGCTTCAGCGGTCTAGGGTCCTGTGAGCCATCACATCCTATACAGTGTGTAGAACATGAATACACCAAAGGACATTCCATCATTGGAGCAGGGGGAAAGCAAGGCTGAAGGGAGCGCTGTAGCAGCCAGCCGGGATAGCAGTTTGGGTGAGTATAACTTTGTTATTTCAGCTCCCTAGACTAAATGAGCACCTAACCCTTGAAGAAGAGGGCAGTCCTACCGTGAGTGTTAAGATTTCATCTGTCCGGAGTTCTTCTTTAAATCTGAGTATGCACTAATAAATGTGTTCCATTCACCTTTTAGGGATTCTGACAGCCGGCCCTGCTGGCTATCAAAAAACTTGAACAGCGCCTGCATCTGATTAAATGGCGCTGTTCAGCGAACAACTTTCCACCCAGCTCCTTGCAATTTTTCAGTTGAAGGATGTCAGGTGGGTGATGGCAGTCAGGGCCACCCACTGAGCAAATAGCAGCCAGTCCATTATGAATCGGATGAAATTTGCTCAGTGTATACCCAGCTTTACTCATCATCAGATATGAAACCACTTAGTAAGACATATGAAAAGTGTTACAATGAATATACCAAGTCTGAACAAATACTCCATGGCTTCCAAGATTTAAGAAGGCAGGTTTACGAAATAAATATATAAATATAT